ACCCAGCTGGTTGTGATTTGTCATTAGTTAAAAACAATTCACATGCTGAGTAAACAATTCTCCAAATCACATTCCAGAGCTGCAAAACAGGGAGAAGCTGAAGCTTCTCAGCTTCCCAGGAGAAGAAATCCTAGTGAAGGGATTTTTCATAAAATATCATGGTGACAAACAAGAACCAGTGAAGTTTCATGATTCTGTTTATGATGATGGTGCCAAAGGCAACAGAAACTATCAAATACACCACAGGGGTAGACATTTAAATGATGCACAGAGGGAAGCATTTAGACCCTGCTCACTGTCTAATGAAGACACTTATGGTGTTTTAGCTTGTCATCAACTGTACAATAACTCTTAAAATTTAAGGCTTATTCTGTAGGTTACCATCCACACAGAAGTCTCAGTATTTTTTAGGAAAAACAGCAACACTAGGGCTGTGTGACAGATCAGGGAACTCCTCATCAGGACCAGAGAAGTACCAGTGTATTCTCCACAGCCTACAGGAGATCCTGTCTTCCTCCTTCCTCTCAAACACTCCTTATTATTCCTTCTCACTTTCCCCTCCACAGAGGAATTCCCCTTCAGCTGAGAGGCACAGAGGACAGTACATTCTCCCAGCTGGTGTTCAGTGCTGTCATTTGAATTCTATTTTATGTTGACTCAGTGTCTGGATTGCAGCAGGAGGGCACAAGCAGCTGAGAATGAAGCAGCCAAGGGCAGGTAATGATTGACCAGGCTCCCAGACCTCGGCACAGCAACATCCCTGAACCTGAAATGTACAGGGGCCTCCCCTTGTGCCCTTTCAGTGACTCCAGCCAATGTCTCACACACCAGGATTCATTAACTCATCAACTGTATTTCTCCTCATCTGAAAATTTTAGGATATTTCTTTAATAAGAGACCTTTGTGGTTGTTGCCAAGCGCAGTGAGAACTGATGGAGAAACAGAGGTAAAACCTGCCCTGTGCACCCATTTAGCCCATGGGAAATGGCACAAACCACTCTAATGGCAAGTGATGTGTAGGAATATTGTGTGTGAAAGCCAAATGCATCCATTAGAGGATGTCCACTGGTAAATTTTCATGGACAAAGCAACCTTGGCCCTCATTTTCCTATTCTCATTGTGCCCTTGTCATAGTTGAGACAGAGACAATACAAAGAAACACACTCCATTTTCAGAAGGCTTCAAACTGATTTTATTATAGCATGCACGCTTTTTATACATTCTTACAAAACTCATACGTTTTCATTTTACTCATTGATCACAAAAGACAAAGTGGTCATTGGAATAGGCAGTTGCAAGTTTCTCTTCTTTATCTTTCTTTCTTTCTTGGTTTCTACGTCAATGACCTTGGTAGAAAATTCCTTCAGGGGTAAACATGCATCTTCTTCTCAAACTTCTCTCTGGCTCACAGAGTCACTGTAAAAGCTCTTCCACATGCCCTTAGCAGGATGATATTCAAGGGTAGAAACACGGAATCACAGAATGGTTTGGGCTGGAAGGGATCTTAAAGATAATCCAGTTTCAACCCCCTGCCATGGGCAGGGACACCTTCCATTGCCCCAAGTTCCTCAAAGCCTGATCCAGCCTGATTTTGAACAGTTCCAAGGATGTTCCACCTTCCATTAGAGCAGGCTGTTCCAGGTGGAGCAACCTGGGGTAGTGGAAGGTGTTCCTGCCCATGGCAAAGGTGGAACTGGATGATTTTTAAGGTCCCTTCCAACCCAAATCTTTTCATGATTCAATAATAATGATTTGTGCTATCATTAGGAAAGCCAGGAGAATACTGGATTATATTTTAACATGCATTTAGTTTTAATGGAACATAAGCACATGATTTCTTAAATAACCCTGTACCTACGAGATTTTAAGGCATATTTATATTTACAATGGTAAAATGAAGTTTTGCCACCATCCAAATACTTGTACCCTGTTTTAAACAACCTTTCTCAAAAGCATAGTAGTTTTTAGACTTCTTTTCATTTGCCATCAGCTGATGAGTCACACTTAAGAGAAAACACTGAGGCACTCCTCCTATATAACACTCCTCCTATATAGCATCATGAATGGTGCTTGCTGTGAATTATTATGGGGGTAGTTGTTACCCAAGGAGGTAACATGAGAAGAAAAACCCCTGTTTTGCAGAAGACTGAAAAAATCAGCTTGAAATGCTGTTTGCAAAGGTTTTCCCCACTCAACATTTCAGATTTTCCTTGCAGTATCACCTTTGCAAAGGGGCTGCTGGGGCAAAATTCAGGAACATTGAATTGCAAAATCCCCCCATCTCCTCTTTGCTTAGAGAGCTGGATTTCTCTGGGCTAGGTACTTCCAGCTCCTTGAATTCCCAACTCATGTGTGTGGGAGTTAATGTTCAACAGAGATCTCCAGGACTTCATCCTGGCCCTGGGTGCTGTGGGATAGAGTTCCATGCACACACTTCCATGTTCCAGCCCCAGGTCACTGCTGTGCTGCACGAATTGTTCTGCTCCTTGCCTGTTTTATACGAGTTTTGCCCGGTTTTAAGCAAACCAGTTTGCTCCTGTCTTTGTTTTTGTTAGCACTCAAAGTAATGGAATTTTCCTCTTGCTTTGAGTGACATTTTCAGGTTCCCTGTGCTAGCAGGGCTCAAAGAGTTGGTCCCTTCTATAGAATCATGGAATTGTGGAATCCTGGAAGAGTTTGGGTTGGAAAGGACCTTAAAGCTCATCTCATTTCAATGCCCTGCCATGGGCAGGGACACCTTCCACTGGGCCAGATTGTTCCAAGCCCCATCCTTGGTTGTTTCCAGTGACATCCACCACCTCTCTGGACAATCTATGCCAGGGTTTTGCCACCCTCATTGCAAAAATCTTCCTCCCAGTTTCCTAGAGGGCTGTTCTCCTTCTGCAAAATCTGTTCAGCAAAATCTGAGTGCTGTGGCAATCCATATAAATGAAATCATATAATTTAACTTTAATAATAGATTGACTCTGCTCCAGAGGAGGGAAAATAAAGCCATGGAAATGAGTGGAGCTTTTTCAAATAACAAAAAGTAATTACAGCCTTCCCCAGTGACACACTCTGATTTTATTTGGGAAAAACACTCCTCCTCCCCAACTTGGATGTCTTATGGATAAGTGCTTCCATTTGCACAACATTCCCACACTGTTCTGTCTGCGTGAAAGACAGGTGAGAGGAATTCACATTTCAAAGTGTCTTGAGAAAAAAAAAAGGTTTTTGTTTTTTGGTTTTTCATGCTGGTTTTGCAGTTCAGGCATTTGCCCCTCTATATCCCTCTAAAGAGAAAAGAGAGGGGTGGCAAATTAAATTTCTTCTCCATTAGAAATGGGGAAAGCTGAAGAGTTGCTGGCAAAGGAAAAGATCATTTTTAAGGCAAGGGTACAAAAAAAAGAGGGACAGAAAAGGAGCACTTGGTATTTCTTAGTTAATTAAATTTTATGAGTGGAAGAGGGAAATCAGTGTTTATCTTGCTGTTTTTTGCTGCATAAACTTACCTTGTTGCCTCTCTCTCAGCTGCTCGATCTGGCCCATTACTGTGCAAATTAAACATAAACCTCAGTAATGTTTTCATCCTTCAAACAATTCTTGGAACAAAAATGCCATTAACTCCGAGTTAAATATAATGAATGAGGTAATAAGGAAGCAAACCACTGAACCAGAATGTCAGAGGTAGGAACTGCAGAAACACTTGGGCTGTGACAGTGTTTAAGCTGTTTATTAGCCCAGGATTTTCTCCCAGGAAGGAGAACCTTCCTGCATTGATCTCCTTTTAAGAAAATTTACAGCCACAGGCATCATGCTCTGAAGTGAAGCCCCAGAAGATGCTGCCCTTCAAATCATTGTCTCAGACATTATTTTTGTGGAATCGGCACATTCTCCCAACCTTTTAAGGGCAAGAAGAGGGGAAATATTTAGCATTGCATCACAAACTTGTGCATGTATATGAAGTAGTTTATTTCCTTTAAAGGAAAATAGATATATTAGTGAGTGATAGAACTCTTAACTCCTGAGGTTTTTAATCTGGACAAATGAACAGAATGAATGCAGAGGTCAGAATTTGTCCCTTAAGGCTGAAGGTAGAGCAGTGGGAATGATGTGGGATGAAATGCCAGGCTGAATGGGGCTTGGAGCAACCTGTTCCAGTGGAAATGTCCCTGCCCATGGCAGGGGTGTTGGAATGAGATGATCTTTAGGTTCCCTTCCAACCCAAACTGTTCTGTGATTGTGTGATACAAGTGAGGAGTGAAGGAGGGGAAGAGCTTTGAGTCAGCCCCCTGCAGTGGGTGAGGCTGTCCTGAGACCTGCTTAAAAAGTGACAGAGAACAGTTGCATCACCTCAAGTCTTTCCCAATGCTTTCCTCTGCCTTTGACATCATCCACCTGGCTACAGGGATGGGGAGATGGAGACAAAATGTTACATGAGCTGTCAGCGAGTGACAAACCCATGGTCAAAGCTGGGTCTCCACTCCAATGGTCAAGCTATATCAGGGAAAGTATAGGTTGGATATTAGGAAGAAATTTTTCACTGAAAGAATAATAAAGTGCTGGAATGCTCTTCCCAGGGAGGTGATAGAATCACCATCTCTGGGTGTGTTTAAAAAAAGCCTGGCCATGGCACTTAGTGCTATAGTCTAGTTGAGGTGTTAGGGCATAAGTTGGGCTCAATGATCTTAAAGGTCTCTTCCAACCTCATTATTCTGTGATTCTGTGATTCTGTGACTTCCAAGTCCCCCTGACCCATCCTGGTGCCTGTGTTGGGAAGAGGTTTCCAAAAGCCATGAAAATTGGTGCAGTTCAGTCAGGCTTGGCTGATGGTCAGATTATATAACTGACCCATGGGGTGGAAATTTACCCTTGGGGGATTGCAACACATTCACTGCCATCTGTGATAAGGGGTCCAGTCCCTCTCCAGAAAGTTCATGGCAGTTACTCATTGACTTGTCACACTTGCACAACCCCAAGGGCCCTATAAATACCGGGTGTCTGTCCCAGCCTTTGCTCAAGCCAGCTCCAGCCACCATTGGCCTTTCAGGTGCTCTGCAGGATCTCACAATCCACAAGCAGCTGACAGCCATGAAGATCCTCTACCTGCTCTTCGCTGTCTTCCTCCTCCTCTTCCAGGCCACTTCAGGTGAGAAGCAAAACTCCTATAAAGAGCAAAAGGGTTTGTAAGCAGAAGAGTGTTCACAGGGGGGCAAAAAGCCACCATCAGCTGAAAGGCAAAATCTGATGCCACGGGGATGGTGCAGTGGTGGGACCAGGAGCATCTCTGCTCAGGGTGCCCCTCTTGCTAAGAAAAGACAACACATGACGTGTTGAGCATTTACCTCTCATCATTTCAGGCAGAAAGCTGAGATTTTAACTCCTGCCACTCCCCACAGGTTCTGCAGACCCTCTTTTTGCTGACACCACCGCGTGCCGGAGCGCACAGGGAAGCTTCTGCCGCGCCGGGGCGTGCCCACCCACCTTCGCTGCCACGGGGACCTGCCACGGGGGGCTGATGAACTGCTGCTCCAAGTAGGTGACAAAACATCTCAGGGGCCTCAGAAGGTCCCCTGTTTTATCCTCTGTTTCTCTGAATAATCAGCAAAACTCCAGGGGGGCTTGCAGGGCAACCCTCGGTGGGGAGGTCCAGAGAGAGGAGGAACACATGTATAATGTTGATGTGTGTTTGGGGAGAAAATTCATTTGAATGAAAATTGTGTATGGGAGAAAGAATTCAGAATTCAGAAAGAATTCAGAATGGTCAAAATGTCCAAGAATTCCAAGTATTTTTCACTTTATTTTGAATCTTTATGGGGAAAAAAAGAATTTTTTTCAAGAAATTATTAGGAAAATGCTTCACAGCATTTATACCCATCAGGGGAAGCTTTTTATCATCCCTCTGGTTTTATTTTAAAATTTACCTAGCAAATGTACATTTAAAGGGGGGAAAGTGTTCACAGAACTTTGCTTCTCAATCTCTCCCCATCTCTCCTTCCTTCCATCACTGCACAACTCTTAGAAAAGTGAAGAGGAGTGAATTTGTCAGTGAGTGGAGACTTAGGTGTGCATTTCACTTTGACCTGGGAAACCACTTTCTAATAATGTCTGGAGTTTCCCTGATAGCCAGATATTTTTTATTTCCTTAAGGTTTTGGACATGCTTTTGGGGAATGCTTTTCAGCTTAAAATAAAACACATTCTCCATCTACTTAATTCTTAGAATAACTTTGTTCCATTAATGGCCATGAGATGATCCCTGCCAGCTGCAGTGACATTCACAACCCCAAATTCAGAGACAGATTAGGAAAGGTTCCATTACCTTTGATGAAGAGGACTGGTGTGATGATAAAATTTATCCCAGCCATGATGTTCAGGCAGATCCCCAGCCACTGATGTGACAGGACAGACCTTGGCTCAAAACAAAGGGAGTGCTCAGATCTGTGATGTCTGAATTTCCCAGAACTCCTTATTGTGTGATTCCATTATTTATAGAATTGCCATGGTTTAAAGGTTCCCAGAAACTGAAGAAATCTGATGAGGTGGTTCTAGAAAAAAAGTTTTATACATTTATTCAGCAAATGGGGATCCTCAGTGGTTTCAGGAAACCCAAGTAATTCCAATAGTAGGGCAGGTTTGTTACCAGGAGAATAAGATGCTAAGGAATAAGATGCTAAGGATGCATTTGGGAATTCAGGGAAGCAAATGGAACAGAAGGAACCTGATATTAGATTAATTTACAAAGCAGTGATGTGATCCCTCAGTTTCTGTGACCACTCATCCTCCATGAGAAGCAATTTCCACTGATAGCAAATGGACTGGGAGGTGCAGGTGGGAGAACTCCAACATCAAATTTCTGTCAGAACATCTGCTAGACCTGACACAAAGAAAACTGAGCCTGGGAAAGGAACAAGAGCTCTCAAGTCTGGTTTCAGGTGTAATTTTCCTACAGAAATACTCTTTCTTTTAAAATGTACCTGATACTGATGGATGTTAGTGTTCAGGATTAAAGTTCTTATATTGGCAGATTTTCAGCTGAGCTGACCAATACAATAGAAGTTAAAACCAACAGGGTATTCTGAAGTACAATATAAATATTTTTTTCCAGCTCAGGTTGCTTGAAAAGAAATCTTTGAATTTAGACATGAAGGGCTTGATTCAGCAGGATACATTGAGATGTTTAGTGGCATTTGAGATGCCTTGGAATATTTGAATCATATCGATGTATCTGACTGAGTTTATTTTGGTGCAAACTGAATAAAAAATGTCATTGCAAGTAGTCACATAATTAATTTGCCAGTGGCCACAGTTTTATACACTGGTAATCTGCAGACCTGGACACCCAACACATACAGAGATGTAGGTTTCTAAACCTGCAGGCTGGACCCACCCTGTAGGTTCATTTTGAAAGGTAATTAGAAGGTGTTGGGGCTTTTGGGGAATGAACTGAGGTGGAACTGCAGCACAGTAACAAGACCCTTTGTATCCTTGCAGGATTTTGGCAGAATAAGAAGAAAAGGCTTTCCTGGACCAGAGCCCTTGGACCAACAACATTTCCACTGCCTTGAGGAGCTGATTTTCATGGATTCCTCCTCTGTCTAAAGCCTCCTGCAAATGAGCTTTAAAAGAAGCTTCCAGAGGGCATGTCCTGTTAGCACACCGCTTCTGGAGATCCGGGTTTTTGCTTGCTGAAGTCACTCCCTTTTTGCTTTTAATACTCAAGCCACTTTGGCTCCTTGGCCACCTATTCCAGCCTACCTCACAGGGGTGTTTGGAGGTTCAATCACTTCAGGTTCATGCAGCTCTTGGAGGATGTGAAGCAATATATATATTATTATTATTTTATTCGCACATGAAAATAAAGGTTTTCTTAAACCAAAACCCGTGATCTTTGCTGTTACTCACAGTAATTTCCTCTCTGGTTTTGACCCAAGGCTCAGAGTGATTTTTTAAAGAATTTTTCAATTCTTTAAAAGTATTTTTTTAAAGAAGGGAGTCTGTGCAGTCTCACATATTCCCAAAGGATTTGGAAAAGGGAATGACTAAAGGAGCAACTGGTTTTGGTGATGGTAATAAAAAATGGTAATAAAAGTTAGGATGACTGGAATGAAAGCTGAGTGGGAAGAACAGGCA